GGAGACTCCACTTGGAAAGCATAACATGGCCTAGAGTCCTCAAGTGCCACCTCCATTTTCAAAGTCTTTCCAGGCAGACAGCCCATCCCCCAGCGGAGGAAACCTGCTGCATCTTCTTTGCTGCTGGATCTTAATTCTCCTACTTCACCTCTGGAGAAGTTGCATCTCTAGTTGCCTTGGCAGCAGGTGTTTTTCTCTCTCTGACTCCAAGCTGGAAAGCATAACATGGCCTAGAGTCCTCAAGTGCCACCTCCATTTTCAAAGTCTTTCCAGGCAGACAGCCCATCCCCCAGCGGAGGAAACCTGCTGCATCTTCTTTGCTGCTGGATCTTAATTCTCCTACTTCACCTCTGGAGAAGTTGCATCTCTAGTTGCCTTGGCAGCAGGTGTTTTTCTCTCTCTGACTCCAAGCTGCCTCTCCCAGGGCCAAGGAGTTCAGCTCGGTGTGGAATGGGTCTGGGAAACTTTACCTGATTTAGCAGAAGTTTGCACTGAGTTGATGGAGACAGGCTCACTGGGAAAGGGGACTCACGTCTTAGCAATTCTGGGTACAGGTCCTGCCAAATGCCTCAGATTCACAGTAGTGCCCTATTTCAATGACTCTGCCACCAGGACAGCTGCAGGTTGCATTCAACCAAGCTGCCACGTAATGCTAACAGGAAAATCATCTCCTCTACCTCCCTTTTGGGTTAGAATATGCTTTGCATAGAGGCTGGTGACCTGCAACTGATTGTTAACTTGTGGAATTCACTGCCTAAGGATAGTGTAGAAGAAAGGAACTTAGCAAACTTTACAAAAGGAGAAGAGACATTCCAATGAACAGAAACAGCATTTGCAGTTACAGTAGCACAAATACAATTGATACAAGTTAGCAATCCTGATGCATCAGGATAGCAAATGATCACCAGCCCAGACCTGGAAAAAGCTGTCCTTTTGTGCTACAATACCACACAAGTGAGTGCATTAGGGTGAGGCGGCTCACACTTTCCCTTTAAGCGTCTGGCACTGAACACTGCTGACAAGAGTTAATGGCTGCTCAGTCTATCCTGGCAAGGCACTGACCATCTCTTATGTGCTTCTCACATAGGGGGTGGGACTGGACAAAAGATCTGGGAAGATAATGACATTGCACTTCTGGCCTGAGTTTGTCCTCCAGGCACACTGCACTGTTTTTTATTTCATTGGGGAAGAGAGGCCTCTTAAATGAGCTAGCCTCTAAGCCCATGGTGTCCAACCAGTTCTGCTATAGCGAACTAGCCACACTCAACCAGCCAAATAGCCACATACAGGGGTGGGAAACCTAAGGCCCAGGGGCCGCATGCAGCCCCTGGCTTGCCTGGATCCAGCCCCCGAGGCTCAGAGCTTTCCCCCACTCCAGCATTGGGGAACCCGCACTGGTGCTCCAGCCTCTCCCACCTCCTGCAAGGCTGGAGCACACAAAATCTGCTAGCCTGGGTCCCCCTGGGGCTCTGGTGTGCGAGGGGCATGTGGGGAGTGTCTCTCTCCTCAGTTGGGGGCCATGTCAGTGAAGGGGTTTGGTTGGTTGTTTTTCTTTTTGCTTCTCACTTGTGTGCAGCTCTTGACTGATTTTTCTGTGGGTCAGTGACCCCCGACCCAAAAATGTCCCCCCCACCCCTTAGCTAGGGCTAGTGTGTTGGGCATCATGGCGCTAAGCTCAGCAGTTCCATTTGCTCTGGCCTAGCTTAGGCATCTGTATCAAGAGGCACGCTGGCCCTCGTGAGCTTAGCCTCTCCTCGTTACGTCAGGTCTGTCCCATCTCTCCAACACCTATTCGAGATAAAAGAGGCTTGCCTGTGACTAACCAGCACCACCCAAGCTACTCACCAACAGGACAAGAGATTGGGCCCCTAAGGCCCAGTGGAGAGACGTCAGCATGGCAGAGACAAATAACAGAAGCAGCCCTAGCACTTCATCACACCCGCCATGGCTGCATCACACCAAGTGCCAAGTGTCGGCCATTGTGAACACCACCAAGCCATGGATAAATGGGCACCCATAGGACTAAGGATGCTAAATTTAGATTAATCAACTAATCGAATAGTAAATAGCATTGACTATTCAATTAGTCGATAAGGGCGACTCTGCCTTTGAAATGTAGCAAGAGCCCTGCTGGCTCAAAAGCAGGGATTGCGGGGGCAGCTGAGGAATATTTGAGCCCCCAGCTTATCCCAGGCTCCCCACAGTGCTTCTGCTTTTCAAATGTAGCAAGAGCCCTGCTGCACCCCTGTCCCTTCTCCCCACAGAGATGGTGCTGGGGGGGAGCCGGCTTTTAAGCCAGCTCCCACCAGCATCAGCTCCTGCTCCCCTCCTTGCTGCCTCTTTCTGATGGAGGCAGCAAGGCAGAAAAAGCAACTAGTCAAGTCACTAGTCAACTATCCGATAAGCATTTACTTATCGGATAGTCGACTAGTCGCTTACATCCCTATATAGGGCTCCAGGGGATGGGCAGGAAGAACCCATCCCCATGTGCTTCAGGAAATCAACTCTTTACCAGAGCTAAAAGGAGACTAAGGGAAGATTCAGTTAGATTTCTGTGCCTATTTTCCTTGGCAGGCTAGCATCAGCACTATCAGACATACCACACTTCCCGTTGCTCTTCTTACTGTGCTTGTTAAAAATAAACCAGCAAATGACAGTGGCTGGGGGGGGAACGGGCTCAGCTTCCCCTGGCCTGAAACTCAATGGCGCAGGTCCCCATGACTAGGAGCAGGGGCTGGAAACTACTGCCCACGTCTGCAAGCCCAAAGCTACAGCCCAAAAGGGCTGTTGGGTAGAGTCCCGTGCGAAAGGGAAGGGAGGCAGGTGTGCACAGCTAATGGAGTTGGGCTGCACTAAGCCTTCTGCCAGGGTTTCAGATAGTCCCCTGCTGCCCTCAGCCTAGTCAACAACAACCTGCTCCCTCCATAGGCCTATCTGGCCTCCTCTGCTCTGACAGAACTTTTCAGTCCAGCGAGAGAGGTGCAGAGAAAGGTGTCCTCCCTCCCTGTCTCACAAGGCTCCAAATGTGGAATGAGGAAGGCTCCGTGTTTAGGATTCATCTCCTGCCTTGAGGCTTCCCCTGCTCAAATACAAATGGGGACACAGCCCTTAGCTCTTTGGTCCCTCTACCACTGTGACTGGCCTGTTACCTTTACAAGTGAGCCCAGGAGCTATGCAAAGCTGGCTGGCAGCTGAGACACCATTTCCCTCACCCAAAAAAGGTAGGTAGCAGGAGGCTTTGCTAGCTGCTCCACAGTTCTGCCAGAGACTCAGATCTACCATGTGATTTGGCCACAGAAGAAGCACAGTTGAGGGAGCTGGGAAGATGCTGGCGCCTCCTGGGCTACTCCAATACTAATTCCCAGAGGTGCCTCATCTTGCAAGCCAGTTCTCCCAATGCAGATAACCACATCCTCACAATTATGCTCTAAAGCAGGTTCTCTCAACCTTTGATATCTGGCGCTGAATCACCACCTTTCCAAAGTGCGTCAGGGAGACCTCAGGGAACGGTGTCAGGCCAGGGACTGCTGGTTGAGAAACACTGCTCTAAATGAAGGCAGTGGAAGCTGGTATTTTCTAACCTAGTGGAGGAGGCTGATCTCTTTCCTCACAGTGCAAAAATCCTGGAGTTTCTCAATAGGAAAATCAGGCAGGAATGTTCAGGCACCTTAAAAATACTCCTGCAGGACTGTGTTCCCTGATCAACTTCACCCCCTGCTGCTCTGCCATCCAGAGCAGTGGAGAGGAATGGCTGGCTTGGTCCAACTCATGAGCTCTTGGTTCAGAGGGAATATTTACCCGTCAAGGTGCTTGCCCTGGCCCAGGGTGATGGGGAAAGGGAGGGTCCCAGCACCTTGGTTGGGAGTAAACATTTATGTGCATTTACACAGCATCTTCAAGTTGTACGCCATAGAAACCATAACTCTAAACAGCGGCACATTCCCTAGCAAGGTTTTAGTACATCTAGAAGTTGGAACAGTTCTAAAAACACCGTAGACACTTCCCAGGCTTAAAAGAAACAAAAGAAAAACACACCAGTAAACTGCAAGTGAAGAGCCTCTTCTGCAATCCTGCTGCCAGGAAAGCCAGTGTTGCTGCTAATAAATTAGAGGAGGGGACAGCTCTCACCCACAAGTCTCTACACAATGGGGAACTTCTTTTTACAATGGCCACATCTCAAGCTGGGCCCCAGAAGATCACCAGGGATTCCCTTTGCCCTCCATCCTTCTGGCTCTCACTGGTCCTGCATCTGCTGCTGCATCTTCTGCAGCATCTCCTGCATCCTTCGCAACTGCAGGAGACAGAGAAGATCAGAGAGATTGCGGCTCCACCACGGACAGTGGGATGCTTTCAGTTAGTGGTGGACATGCTCTGTTACTGGGACCATATGTTTGCGAGTGGGGTTCTAGGTCCCACTCTCTGCCCCCTCCCCTCCGCTCGTCAGGGCTGGAGCTGTGTACATTGCTGTTCACTCTGCTATCTGCTTGGGCTAGCTAGTTACGGCTCACAGAATCCACAGGTTTATGCAGCAGCCAATGTTTGGAGGAATCCTCTCCATCGATGGGCGGCTTACACGCAGTTTTGGTGAGATTAAGGGGATGCTGGTGGATACCAGGGAGACCAGTCTGGTGGCACAGCTGGCCCCTGGGCCCCATTTCCCTAAGGAGAGGGAGTGACAGGTTTTACCCACACCATGAGTAGAGAGTGAAAAGGGAAAGGCCAGCAGGGGATGAACGTCCTCTGCTTATTCATGGGACAAAGTGCAACAGGCACAGGGCAAGCTTCCCCACACTGCCCCACCTCCACTAGGGGGCGAGGGAGGGCAGGATGGGTGATGGGAGTTCACCCCACTTGGGGATGAAGCAGGGCAGCCTCCGGGGTCTTGGTCTCTCTACTAACAAGGGAGTCAAAGTTCCAATTCAGACATTTGTCAGGCAGACACTGGGCTGAGACTCATCAATCTCCACTGGGTCATTGCTCTTTAGCTTCTGCCCTGGGTTACCCTAGAGGGGTTGGCTTCTATATCTCCTGCCTGACCCCCTCAGCCAATGCCTGTTACGCGTGCCACACAGCAGGGACACGGCAAAGTAAAAACTAGCCTAAGGCTGCTGCTCTCTCCCCAAGGCACTGGGCTGCCCACAGCTCTGCCCTCTTATCTCGTGATCACAACTTCGCCTCACATCCTGTTCCTGCTCCTTTCCCCCAGTAACTCCGCACAGTGGCTGGGGCCCTGTGGCCCCCGGCGGCACTGCATGGCCTGGACGGGCTGTGTAAGGGGAACGTGTGCGGTCCCAGCTTGCGCTTTACCTGATCCTGGTCTGCACTTCAGCTGAACTCTTGGTGCTTCAGTCACACTCACTGCATAGGGCAGAGGTGGTCCCTGGTGGCCTTAAACCCTCCAACTCTGTAACCTGATGGTGCTCACTTAGGCAGTGCTGACTGGTGCTTTGCTCAGCTGGGGAAGGGAGGAAAGGGCTTTCAGAGAGACCCTCTAGGTTCTCTCTGACCGTGGTGACTTCTGGCACGGGTGCAAGCAGGGCCTCACTCTACAGTCCATGGGTTGGCATTGTCACTGCCCAGGAAGGACACAACCTTTAAGCTCTGCCCTCCTGACTGGGAGCCTGTGAGCGCAGAGGGCAATAGAAAGAAGAACAGAGGAAGGAGCAACAATGGGGGCACCGGTGAAACCCAGGACTGCCTCCCCAGGAGCAGCCCCTTTGCTGGTCACGGAGGAGGCACGGTGCAGTGGGTACCTACCTCTTCATCCTTCATTTTGATGAGCTTCTCTGTTTCAGCATCAGGCGTTGGAAGGGGCAGGATAGGGATGGGGCTTTCTATCCTGTTGTCTTGAGTCAGCTTACTGGGGGAGAAAAAAATGGAGAAAATTCAGTCCGTTCTTGTCCCAGCCTGGCTGTGATTTGCACAGAGGGGAATGAGGGCCTATCACAAACACATCAGGACATACTCGCACCCACATGCGCCTTGCCAGCCAGCTGGGAAGTAGCACAAACCTCAGGCTGTTTGGATGCAGTTTGAGGGAGCACAGCAGAGGTGTGTGGGATCCACTCACACACAGGCACGTGTCACTCAAGGTAACAAAAGTGCAATTTCAGAGGAGTGGGCTGGGGTGGCTAGTGGAGGTGAAAGCCATAAACCAACTATGGATAGTAATCCCAAGCCCTTAAAGAGCTGGCGTCTCTCGTCTTATGCCACACAAATCCTAATAACAAGGGAGAGAAGTACTACATTCAAGGACTGAAAAACCCTTCTTAGGAGACAACTGGATAGTCCTTAGAATCGTGGTGGGCAGCCTGTGGCCCACTGAGGCTCTATGTATGGCCCATGAGACATTTTGTTGACTGTTGCTCAGGTGCAAGGTTGCCAGATTGAGCTGATTTCTCTGTGCTTCAATGTTTTCCTGCTGGTATTACTAAAGCAACACATGCTTAAAACACGGGCTCATGAAGTGAGGTGTATGCTGACTGCATACAACATTGACAGTGAGAGCCGTCCGCTCGCTCTACACCCAATCAAATCCCTGGTATGGTTCAATCAGCACATCCCACAAATTCTAGGTACACAAGCACAGTTAGCAGAACTACCCTATCACAGGAGATTACCTTGCTTATGACAATCTTGCAGCCCACTAAAATGAAGGACGGCCACTCAGCCCACTGACTAGCCTAAGGTTATCCATCGCTGCTTTAGAGAATTCCAAGGTGTCATTGCCTCCTCTTGCCACTTGACGGCCCTGTTGGCTCAATTGCCAATCACCTACAAAATTGTAGTTTGGGTTCTTTCCCCAAGAAAGGATCTATATATACAGGCAGTCCCCAGGTTACGTACAAGATAGGGACTGTAGGTTTGTTCTTAAGTTGAATTTGTATGTAAGTCGGAACTGGTACATATTGTAGGGGAAACTCTAGCCAAACATTTCTCCAGAGCTCAGTTTTATTCTCCCACACCTCACTTCCCTCAGTCCTTTATTCTCAAGCTGAGGGGTCTGCTGAGAAAAGCCGCTCCGCGTCTCCCTGGTCTGCTGGGAGGGGTGCTAGCTTTGCGTCTCCCTGGTCTGCTGGGGGGAAGCAGCTAGTGCGGGGTTGCCTCACCCCGTTTGTAAGTAGGGATCTGATGTAAGTCGGATCCATGTAACCCGGGGACTGCCTGTAAATGCACATTTATCTTAGAATTCAGCTGCATGTAGGATACTACTGAATCCCACTTCCCTTGGACTTGATGTATAGAGAATCAGCAAAGAGATGGGAATTTGAGGCAAACCAGAGGAAGTTTTAGAATCTAAAAAATGGGGGAGGCATAACTATTTTGGTTAAGTAATTTATTCTCCACCTTTTTGTAAAAACAGTTACTAAATTCTGTATCTGAACAGTAGATGTCACTTCTCTCAGATCTTATTTAATGTCTAGCTATCTTGGGATGCTGCATTCCCAGCAATGAAAATAAATAAATTTGTCAGTCGCAGAAATGTAATTCTATGTGCCTGTGTTCACATATACATCACACGTGGGTGTGTACCCACATGCATGCACACAGACATTTACACACAGTGTACTGGCATTGCTTGCCCACTAGTGAAATACAGCTACTTCTGGGGTGGAATGGGACAGTGCACAACAACAGTATGCAGCAGCTGAGCCCAGGAAGGGAAGGCTACAAACTACCCTAGAAGGGTGCTAGAGATTTTTAAAATTTCACATTTTCAATAACATTTCAAATGTGCAGGGGTGAGAGACCAACGACCGAGGGGTATTTTTATGAGAGTTCTGTGACCTCTCCTTGCCAGCTGAAACTGCAGGGAAGCAGTGACCCATGAGAGGGCAGGGCAATCTCTGGAGACACGTTTAAGACTCAGTAATCACTAATTGCTCCGACGGAGGCATTGCCAGAGAAACAGCAGCATCTCGGGGTGATGTCATAACTAAGACATGGCCACAGCTGGTGAGGATGTGGGAGCTGCCAACTCTCCCTTCCAGGCTGCTGCTTTGGCACCACAAGCTGTTCACAGACAATTCCCCAGGGGATGGTTGATTTCCTATTACTGTCACTAAATCAGGTCTACTCTTCCCTAGCACTGAGACGAGCTCCTGAGCGAGGACCCATCTATCTCAGTGCCCACACCCCAAGGCTAAGTGCAGTGACCAGGCTATACAGTCTCCCCACGGTGGTTCTCAGATGGTGGAGATGCTGTGATTGTGGCCCATTGGCTAGTTGTTTCCCCTCCCAGGACATCTGGCTGCATCTTTGCAGAGAGCACCTCCCAGCACCTGGAATACCCCTGAGTCCCATTAGCAAGGAGCAGATGAGAGCTTCCCCATCCAAGAGGTACCAGATGCAGCCCTCCTCTCCATCACACAGAAGAGCACCACCCCCAGGCACCCACCTGGTCATCTGCTGGATGCACTGAGCTCTGTAGTTCTCATAGTGAACATCACAGGTGACATCTTTCAGGTCGTGCATGTGTGTCCGGATCAGCATGTTCCGCAGCTTCACAAAATCACAGTGCGCCTGGTTTTCCACTGTGAAAGCAGCACAAACTGCACTTGCATTTCACTCCAACAATGCCTGCACCAAGGATGAGCAATGGCCCCTTCAGAGCCTTGCCACATCCAACCCCTGGCTTACTAAACACACATCCCAACAGGGTGACTGCCCCACTACCTCATCTCCTGCCCTCCCACCCATTCCATAATGCTTGGGTCCACGCGCCCTGGGGCTGCCTCTTTGCTGGTGTGATATCAGGACACCTAGGATCGAGGTAACACCCTGTTTTAAAAGGGAAGGATCTAGAGGCAGAATATTTTCAACAGGGCCCTCTGTGCTAGGGATTGCTTCCCCTCTTGGTCCCAAGAGCCTGAACTGGCTGACCTGCAGGCAGGTGCTAAGTGTGCCTGGCTCCCAGGGCTTTGTCTGGGAAGAAAGACTGTGCATGCAGGCTGGGACTAGGTGGGTTCTGATTGGAGACAAGTGTTACCAGGTCATGTTCATCGTATTCGTCAGACTGGGCACCCTTTCTGAGACTGCAGCTAGCAATTGAAACTAATTGAAATCAAACAGAAGGGCTTTAGGAGGCCTGGTCTCTGGATCTCTATTTGGCCTGAATTTAGAACCTGACCCAAAGTCCACTGAAGTCAATGGGCTTCTTTCCATGGAGCCCAATGGGACAAGTGTTACCAGGTCATGTTCATCGTATTCGTCAGACTGGGCACCCTTTCTGAGACTGCAGCTAGCAATTGAAACTAATTGAAATCAAACAGAAGGGCTTTAGGAGGCCTGGTCTCTGGATCTCTATTTGGCCTGAATTTAGAACCTGACCCAAAGTCCACTGAAGTCAATGGGCTTCTTTCCATGGAGCCCAATGGATTCTGGATTGGACCCATAGTCCCTTACTTTCGAAGAGGAGGAACGCACAGCAGGGAGGCAAAGTCACAGGAAGGCAACTGTGCCAGGGGCTGCACTGAGGCGTGGGCACCATCCGTGTGTGCCTAGCACATAGTGGGTCCCTGCACCCCTCAGAGCTACCCAGAGCGTGTAGCATGGTGCTCCAGCAGAAATTTAAAGGGCTCAGGGCGCCTGCTGCTGTTTTGAATTGCTGGGCCCTGATGCAACTACCCCCTTCCTCTCTACCTGTTCCCAGGCCTCATCAGTGGACTTCTTGGTTCAGGATTTTCCAGTTAATTGATCCTTTGTGTATTGGTGCAGTTAAGAGAGTCAGTCCCAGCAGAGGTTAAGTCCCCATTCTGACCTGCCTCCATTCCTCTTTTTTTAGCTTGCAGCGTCGAGGGCAGCCAGGCTACATCACACCAGGGACCATACAAACTGCTTTTCTTCCCAGACACACACGCTGCAATGCACTTGGCCTGGCCAAGGGTGCTGAGCAGTCAATGCATTCCTAGCACATGACTGAGTGTGCAACCCAATAACCACAAGCACCCTGCAGCCACGAGCCAGAGGAGAGTCAAAGCTGTAGCTATCTTCATTGAAGGCCACTGTTCATAGGGGCTTTTGTAATCCACGAGGACAGAAAATTATAGGCCAAGGCAGACAGCCCAGCTTTTTAAGAAATATTCACTCCATAGCATGGTAGGGCTCTGTGGGGTTCTCGGAACATCACTGACTCACCCAGCCAGAGCAAATGAGGGTTGGGAGCTGCCTCAGCAGAATGCCAGCATGTCTCATTTAAAACAACTGGTTCTTCCCATCCACACAACAAACCCTCCCCATTGGGGGTATATTGCAGCTACGCAGCAGCTCACAGGCCACTGCCACCAGCATTGGCCCTGCCAAGCGGCAGTTCATGGGGTGATTACAATGTGCCGTGTTTGTGGGTTTCGAAGCATTTCTGACTGGGGCAGAGGGCTGAAGGATGTAAATCTTCACTCCGATGAGAGCCATGGCTGCTCTGTAGCAACCAGGCGGTGCCCTGCCTTCCCAAGCGGAGAGATGCTGCTTCCCGCACATTAAACAGAGTCTGCTCCATTCCGAAACAACCAGAGACACAGACAGGCACACGCTCTCTTCCCTGCCCCTGGTATTTCTAAGGCACCACTGCAGCATCAGAAGACGCTCCTGGGGATCAGTTCAACACACCTGCTCTTCCCCCGATGGCGGGTGCTGGGGCGCAGTCTGAGGGTGTGACCTGAGCTGGAGTGGCCGTACTGAGTTAGCTCCAAGCTGTCTCCTTTGGTTAACAGAGCAGTGAAGCTCTTTCACAGAACGCCGGCTTCAGTGCAACCTACCCACCTGAGCACTTAACCTGGCACAGCCCCAGCTGAAGCCCACGCTGCCAGCCTCCCTCTTACCCATACCTGAGCTAGCTAGATGAAAGCTCACTCAGGTGAATGCACATGAACTGCAGTCACAGACAGTGAACACAGCCCAGACATTCCCTCGGTGTCCCAGACCATGTGCTGCAAACACATGCTTACTCCATGGGGCTCCCCAGACATACAACTTAGCTGAAGATCCTGGACGCCCCAGTGCAGCCATTAGGGCTCTGTCCTTCGCCTGAGCTGCCCAGCTGTAATTCTGCCCCAGAGCTGCCAGCCCTCCCCTCCTCCTCCTGGCTTCCCTGCCAGGCCCCCGGGAACACTGGAGACTTTGGGGAAGATTTGGGACTGGACTCAATGACCTGTCGAGGTCCCTTCCAGTCCTAATGTTCTATGATAACACAGCTTACCTTCCACGATGCCCCACGGGTAGAGCCGCCCGCGCACTCTCTGGCCTTTGGCCTCCACCACAGTGTTGCTGCCAATGACGGCGAAGGGAGCGCTCTCCTGAAACAAGAGCCGACGAGCAATGGGGAAGATTGGGAAGGGCCGGCAGGAGTCATGCATGGCTACCTGGGAGCCCAGAAAACTCAGGTTCAGATACCTACAAATTTGTATTGACTGGCCTGGGGTGGGACTGCAGGCGGACAGGTTGTACAGGGACCTCATTCTCTCCAAGGTGCTGAACAAAATATCCAGAAAACTCAGGTTCAGATACCTACAAATTTGTATTGACTGGCCTGGGGTGGGACTGCAGGCGGACAGGTTGTACAGGGACCTCATTCTCTCCAAGGTGCTGAACACAGTATTATCCAGAGAGGGGCCCGTGTTGTTCCTTTCTGGAGAGGCCATTAGCAGGACGGCAGCTCACGCTGCCCCAGCCAGGCTGTCCCGCACATGCCACATTCAGGGACTTACTGCTAGTTCAGCTCCAGTTCAGCCAGCCTAAGCCTACGCAGGAATGAGAAGGGGCCTGTCCCTTGCTGGTGGGTCAAGGGTCATGGTCTGACCCTAACGGCCTCGTGTGCAATCACAGCATTTCATCCTACATGCCCGGCCCTGCATTCCCAACAGCTCAGCAGGCGAGAATCACTGCGCCTTGGTGAAGAGCATCACTCAGAAACCGGGACATGGAAGTAGGAGCTGCCACCATGGCATTGCTGGATCACACCTGTAGACTGGCTGACGCTAGGGCATCCTTCCTGGTGGGATGGGGACAGGAAACCTGGCCTCACAGGATACACCCACCTTGGGGACTCCGTGCACCCACTGCTGCAGTAATTGCTTTTCAGACACCCTGGGTTATCCGGGCAGGTCAGGTATCCCAAAGATTCTCCATCCCTTGGCACAACTGAAAACATCAGAGGCAGCCTGGCTCTAACTTGGCCAGATGCACCCCGAAGCCAAGAGGAGAGAGAATGAATTCCCCCCTTCAAAGGTTAGGGACAGGAGCCCTTGGTCCCCACATATGGTGGTAGTCTGTGGCTAGGCAACCTGGAGATTCAAGACAAACACATCCTGAGAGAAATCCATGGAACTGAACCAGGAATGAACCCGGTCCACAAGACTGCTGTCATAAAGCTATGGCCACACGGGACAGTACCTATGTCCCTGTGCTCCACCCAGACCTTCAACAGGAGTTGACACCAACAGGAACAGAACTCAGATCCTCCCATTCCTCAAGTACAGGCTGCTACACCGGAGATAAAGAAGAATCTCCACTGACTTATCAGTACAGGGCCTCTGACACACATGGCATAGCTCTGATTCTGCCTAGTAGAGGGCAGTGGTGCACACAAGCTAGCTGATGAAATTATGGAACTGGAAGAAGAGGTCCTGGCTTTCCTCACCTTCAGCTCTCGGTCTTGCTGCTTGAATTCCTCATCTTCATCAGAGTCACAGTCTGGGAACTGGTAAACTTTAATCCCAAACTTGTCAATTTCTTCTCGGATCTGCTCTCCCGGATGGCAAGGGCACAAGAACAAAAAACACCCAAGAGCCCGTCAGCATGACCAGAAAATGCAACCCCACGCATAGCCACCTTCACTGCAGCCTCTCTGCTCTGGTTGCTGGCGCAGGAGGGGCAGGTCCCAGGCTGGGAATGCCAGTGTGGGAACCACACAGAACTGTGGGCTCTTCTCAAACCCTGCAGGGCACTCTCTGGGATGCAGGAGTTGAGGAGAAGTGGGTGATGCCAATCAGACTCGATGAGGGCTGGCTGCTTACTAAGGCATCTAGAGAAAGGCAGGGAGGGGATTTTTGGACCCATTTCCTCTCGTGCCAGTGGCTGCTAGACGGCTGGATAAATGCTAGTTAGTTGCTGTCTTCTTGAACTCCAGGGCAGGAAAATCCCCCTGCACAGTGACACATGGGAAGGAACAAACAAGAACAGCTCAGCCCCTGGGTTCCAAAGCACATCTGTGAGGGAGAGGGGGAGTAAGGGGGCACTGTAGCAGGAGCTATGGGTAGAACCCTTTGTATCCATGGGCATCTGCACTCGCAAATGAGGATGCGAATATCCACGGCTCATTTCTGAAGATACAGACACAGATGCGGATATGCAATTTTGTATCCACACAGGGCTCTAGCGATGGGTTCCGTAGTTTGGTTCCCCTCATCTGTGAGGGAGAGGGGGAGTAAGGGGGCACTGTAGCAGGAGCTATGGGTAGAACCCTTTGTATCCATGGGCATCTGCACTCGCAAATGAGGATGCGAATATCCACGGCTCATTTCTGAAGATACAGACACAGATGCGGATATGCAATTTTGTATCCACACAGGGCTCTAGCGATGGGTTCCGTAGTTTGGTTCCCCTCTTGGCTGGCTGAGCCCTGCAGAAGAGATACTACAGGCCACAAAGCGAGTGGTATCTCTGTAGTCAGAGCCAAGACAGTGCGGGGAACCCAACCTTAGGTAAAGATGGAGCTAGGTGGGTTATTTTGCATGGAGCCCCATGAAACCTGCGGAGAAATGGGACAGGGCCTTGGGTCAGGTCATTCCATTGTGTCCCTGACACAAAGGGGGCAAGGGAGTGCAAGTTCTGCTCACTTCTAGTTGGCTGTCCCCACGTAAAAAACATCATTCGCCTCTCCAGCAGGAGGGACTTAATCGGTCTCCTTAGAGCAAGGCTATGGCAGAATCTGGGACTAGGGAGGCTGTGCAGATACCTGACCCCTTTGAGGGTCACTCTGAGCAGAACAGGACAGCAGCATCTCTCACCCTCTCCTTTAGCTTCCGGATCTCACTGGGGATCAGGCAGTCGGCCTTGGCAATCAGAGGCACGATATTCACCTTCTCGTGCAGAGCCTTCATGAACTCAACATCCACTGGCCTCAGCCTGCGGCAGGGAGGGAGCGCAGCAGGGGTTAGCAAGGCTGGCGCTGTTACCTCACTGGGACGTGTGGGGGGTGCTGTACACTCTTGTGGCCCTGGGTTCGCTCTGCTTTGGCATTCACTGGTTGCTGTGTTGTGCTGTGGGTGACCCCTACTGGCTTATGCTGCTCTGCAGAGACTGTGTGTGTGTCTGTGTGCACTGCCCAGCACGGGGCGGTCCCTGGGGGCAGGCAGGTTGGCCATGGCCTAGCAACTTTTCATCTAGCCAGGGAAGGAGATTGAACAAAGGAAGGCGTGTGGCTACCTGGGGGGGGAGGTGGAGGAGAGTGACCAGTGGCGGAGAGAGGGGGCACTCTCAGTGTGGGGAAGCATGAAGGAAGCAGACTAAGACCAGGATAGGGGAGTTCAGAGGCCTGCGAACCCCTTCCCCCCTCTAAGGGGCCTCAGCACGACGCCTGCTACCCCCTTCCCCCCTCTAAGGGCCCTAAGCCTGTCTGCCCATCCTCCTATGTCAACATCGAGCCTGTGCTGTATCGCTGAGAAGCAATAAAACCTTCTATTCTACTGACGACATGCCGTCACACTCACCCACCTGCCTTTCCTCAAGAGGGGCACTCCCATTCACCCCCGGGCCTGACACCCCCTTAGCGGTACGTCGGGGGATACAGAAACTCAGCCTGGGGCAAGGGCATTTTCAGTGTTACAAGTCACAGGGAGAGTTCTCAGTTGGTGCAGCTAGTGCATGGGGGGGTGGCTTGACTATACCTCTCCCAGCCTGTAACAGCTCAGCCTAGTGAAGCAGAGAGACACAGGATGGGTATATTCTCCACTACAGATTATACCCTGGGGCCCCACTTTAGCTACCTTGCACAGCATGAAACTATCAAATCCAGCAAGCTGAGTACCCCTGCTGGGCCCACGTTAATGTATGCCAGGGAACAGGCTGGTGCCAGAATTGGGAGATGTAAAGGCAGCTGAAATCTCTCTCTGCGCCCACCCTGTCCTGTGTTGGGCACAGATCCACTAGATTGAAAGATATGGGGCTGTATGCTGGTTCTCCCATCCTGCTCCCACAGGAGAGCAGCAGAAAGAAATGGCCTATGGGTCTGCAGGGATCAGTGCCTGGAGATCAGGCCTCACTCTCAGTGTTGCAGAGCCTATGGAACGTCTCCGCACAAGACAAGGACCATGTTACTGGAGTGTGTCACATCAGTGAGTAAGAGGGGAATGGCGGAGGTCCAGTTAGGGCAAAAGCACACAGCCTGCTGTTAGCACCGCCAGTCCCAAATCCCACTCAGACTTGTTACCTGCAACCCCCCACAATACCACAAGAGGATGATATCTGCGCACGGGTGCCTCCCACCAGCACCACAGAATGAACAATGACACAGCACCGCCTTGGCAATGCACTGTGTAGGTGCTACCAGCCCTCCTTCAACTCCTACCCCCGTAGCAGAGGGGAAAGAAAGCAAAGGGGGGCAGGGCTTTAGGGATTTGTGACAACCTCACACACAGCACCCTGAGACTCGCCCCAGGCCGGAGTCTGGCTCCCAGCCAGAGCAGTGCCTCACCCGTGTCCGAAGGGCGAGATGAAGTAGAGGCAGCAGTGCACACGGTTGTCCTGGATGTTCTTCCGGTTCAGGCCGCTCTCGTCACGGAAATACTGTTCAAACTGCTGGTCGATGTAATCGGTGATGGGCTTCCAGCTGGAGGAGAGGGGGTAAGGGAAGCACAACACACAACAAGCCCAGTTTTTAATAGGAGGTCATCTCAGACACACACAGCCCAGGAGGTACCAGGTCCCTGCCCCCCACCTCCCCAGCCCCAAGTCCCTGACCTGGGCAGTGCTAAGGGCTGAATTTGGGGATTTCTCTATAACGCTGGAGAGCAGCATCCTCCTTCCCACCTTAGATTCAGCTCCATCACCCTCAGGGAAGGGAATGGCAGCTGACAGAACCCCAGGGTCAGGAGTGGTATAAGCTCCCTAAAGGGGAGCCCACTGGCACCTGGACCATGGCCCTGCCCCCACCATGTCCCACCCCCTGCTTGCTTTTCTCTACCCCCTCCACACAGTCACTCACACTTGCAGTGAGTAAAAAGTGATGGGGCCAAAGCCCTCCTGACATCCCCCGCTCAATTCTGGCACCCCTGACGCGGGACCCAGCCCCCTCACCACTCAGTGTTGTTAACAGCATCTCCGAAGCCTGGGGTGTCGACTATCGTCAGCTTCAGCTTGACACCCTTCTCCTCAATGTCCACGGTGTGTTTCAGGATCTCCACCGTCTGGCTGATTCGCTCTTCAAACAGAAAGAAATGAACTGCAACCAGTGATTAGCTGTGGGGACCCCGCTCCCCACAGGCCACATCTGCACATGGATTGGTCCTCAGCACCAGGCCTTCTCCCACCACGCCACCCTGCACTGTCACAAGGTCCAGGAGCCTTCTGCTGGAAAGTGTCAGGTTTCTTTGGCAAAAAGTGAGAAAACAAAAATATCTGATTTTGAAATGAGAAACACAGTGCCTCATGGGCATTGCACTTTGTAGTTTCATTTGCCTCTACAGGCCCGGTATCCTGCTTGGGCACCATTTCACATCATGGGCTTGGAAAGAGGCAGTAGTGCATCATGGAAGATTAACTGCAGCCAGGGAGCCTGGCCCATTAAAGAGAACAGGCAATTCCCACAAGGCACCACGGTAGCATTTCAGAATTGAAATATTTTTATTTTCGGCTATTCACTTTTCCAGTGAAAAATGAATTTTCCTGTACAAAACAGGTGCTTTTCATGGAAAATTTCACTTAATTGACAACCCAATTTTCCACCCCAAACCAGTTTTAATGGAAAACTTTCACCTAACTCTGAACACAGAACTTTTGTGCATATATGTCAAAATTGCCTTGTCCCCCATGACTAGGGGAGTAGAAAAGACAATATGAATGAATGAGATAGATCAGTATTACTCTCATTTTACCTGAATCAGGGAAACTGGGGCCCAGAGCAAAGACTGACTTGCCCAAGGTCACACACTGAGATAGCATCATTGTTCTGACTCCTACTCCATGATCTAATTACCAGGGAAGCTGCCTCCCAATACTACCAGATGTTCCTTTCCTCCTGCACAGGCTTTGTAGTTCTCAATGGTATCATAGGAATTGCCATGCAAAATCATATTGTAGGCCAGCATCACGCCACAGGCAGGGACCAATGCCTGATACTTAAGGAGAAAGTATAAAACCCCAAATCACACTTAACCAACTGATCTAAATGGCCAGCCTCTGACACCACCCCCTAGGAAGGAGACCCTTTCTAGTGAAAGAAGCGGCACCCCTTTGCCCAAGGCACCCGTGAGCTAAATAAACAGCAGTATCTCTCCATCATCAGGCCACTCAGCATATTTTCTTTGTGTGGAGGGGAAACCACAGTGCTGGGAAATGCCAGCCCCTCACCCTTCTTGCTATAACACTTGTGGTTGTATGGCTCACTTGGGAGACAGCTAAGCAGCCATAATGATGTGCGTGGAGAGGTTTGGCTGTGGCTGAAGTGAGGAAGCCAAGAGCTGGATTTTAAACGATTTAGTCCTTGGGGAAACAACAGGCCCCTATGGGTTCCCCGTGGGCTGCACTTACCCTCAGCATTGAGAAGCTTCCTTTCTTTGTAAAGATCTGTCAGAAACAGGCTATTCACCAAAGTGGATTTCCCCAGGCCTGACTCGCCTAGAGAGCACAAAGACAAGCACATAACCCAGCAACTGGATTAGGAAGAAATCCTGGAGCAAGGTGTTCACTACTGCTTCCCTAGCCCAGACCAGCAAGAAAGCTGATCCTTTCGGGAGCTGCACACTAGCGGGGGCATGTCCCCAGTGAGATCCCTCTCACCCTGTATAAAGGGGAGAGTCCAGTTCCCCACCCCCCACCCATCCCCGGCTCCTAACCAGCCTTGTTTCTACTGCCTGCAGTCATGCTGTCAGATGCACAGGCACACTCAGCCCCCATGGGGGGAGGGCGGGGCGGCTACGGAGGAGTAAGTGTCCGACTGGCAGACTGGGGTGGCAGGAGTCAAAGAATGTTTGGCAAGGAAACTGGAAAACAAAACTTTGGGAAGGATCCAGTCGATGCCAGAGTCTCTGAGAACAGGGAAGTGCTGGTGGGCAAGTGTTGGCACAGGCCTCCTCCCCACAGCACCAGGACCTGATCTGACCAGGCCAGAGAGCACCTGGCTCAGCCAACTTGTGGCTGTGCTCCGGGGTCTGTCGTAGAGCCTGGGG